TTTCAGAAAAAATTTCAATGAGAAAGCTTTTAAGAATAAACTTTTTATAAAAGGGCTTTTAAGAATAAAACATTCTGAAGATTTTGATAAAAAAGCTATCTGCGGGTTTTTTTTTAATAAAAAAAGGTTCAAAAATCAAACAAATTTTTGCAAAAAAGCTTTTAAGAAAAAAAAAAACTTTTTTAAATAAAGCTTTTCAAATTAAACTAATCAAAAGTTTTTAATAAAAAAGTTTTTCAGAAAAAATACTTAAAAAAAAAGCGTTTCAGAAACTTTTTATAAAAACTTGTATGAGAATTTGTTTCTTTAAGAGCTTTATACAGCATCAGCTTTTCAGAAAATCTGTGAACAAGCTCTTTTGCGCGAAAAACAAATTGAAAAAGCGCCCAATATTTGTCAAAAAGGTTTTTAGAGGAAATTAAAAGCTTTTAGGAATTAAGGGGCTTTTAAAACAATTTAAAATCAAAAATATAAACTCACCATGATCCCGCCTCTTGCGTACATACGCCCTCTTCGAACTCACTGGTGCCTGATCAGTCTCTCCATGAACCAAACTATTACGATACAATGTCAACGGTTGATATTCCTCCGGCTTACTTGAAGGCATACCCGGTGAAATGCGGCGATCCAAAAAGTTTAAGAGTACTTTTTTATCCTGTTTCAAAAGCTTATGATTGAATTCATTAAGAACTTCTAGGAAAAGTAAACGTTTAGGAGCAGCCACTGGATCTTCAGGAACATCACCCACAGCAAAGAGAATACCAGCACGATGTAAAGCTATAATAGGTTCACGATTTTTAATGGCATCAAAGCCAAAAGTTAAAGCAAAACGTTTAGCTAATTCTTTCAATTCACTAAATTCATGAGAATTCTTCGAGACCAATTCATTTTCCGATTGACTTTGTAAATCCTTGAAAACAGCTATCAAACTCAAAAGTAAAGTTAAGGCAAAGTTAACTTTATTGATTTCACGAGCCTTGCCCAAAGTGGCCTTAATAATGTCGCCATATTCATTGTAGCACTGCAAAAAATCATTAATATTTATTTTGTTTTCATGATGAAATGGAAAAAAAACCTTACTTTTACGTAATATTTAAACATGCCGGCTGCACTTTTAGTGGGTATAATATTGTAGACTACCAGCTTGCAGTAGGAGGCCAAAAAGTTACGTTTCTTATGCAGCTCCATAATACGAATTTCATCTTGAAGATCTTTGTTTTAAAAAAAATTCACCATAAAAAATTTTAAGATTTATTGGGTTTTATAAATACCTTCATGTTTTAACGAAAACACATAATGCTGAACGAAATTATTCAAAACCAATTGTTCATCCAAAGTGGATTTGTATTCCAAACTACGAACATTGATATTTTCATTACGAGAGAGTTGATCGGAAAAGGTTATTAATAAATCACATATGGATTGATAGGCCTTTGGAGAAATAAAATAAAAGTTAAAACAAATTTCGTTTCATAAAAGTTTATAACATCCTACCGCTTCTTGTATTTGATCTGTGGGACCATCTCGTGTCAGTTCATAACAGGCAAACATGTATTTATCTAGATTCTTTCTTAGCTCTGCGACTGCCTCGGGTATTTGTGAGGTTTCACATTGATTCTCGATATAGTACAAACCCCAGCTAATAGAGAAATAACAAGCTTCTATGCAATAGGTTAAAGCCTCATTGGGTAAATTACGTCCTGGATTTTCTTTAGACTGACACTCATCCACATCTTGAAACAAGGAATCAAATAGATTCCAAGGATTTAAATTATGAGAAGAATAGAGTATAGAAACCACTTTTAGAGAACTGATAACATTATAGATTTCATCTTCATTGGGTAATTCTTCGCCAGCAATTAAATTACGCCAATCTTCTATGGAATCTTTGTATTTATTTACAGCATTGTCAATGATATTTGAGCGGGCAACATCGCAGCGTGTGTAAGTGGCACTACCTTCACGACATAAGTATTCCAATGTTTTGGCACAAGTCTCAAGAACATCACGATCTGTATGCACTGACATTATATAGCTCATTTTCTCTAGCAAACTTTGCAGATTAGCTTCTTGACGATTTGTGGTGTAAATATCCAATTCAAAATATTGTGGTATGGAAAGTAAATTTGTCAATTTTTCACTATCCGCCTGATACTTTTCCAACAAGGAAGGCAGAGTAACTATAAAATGTTCTGTCAAACGTACTTTTTCATCTTGTATGGCTTTTAGTTCTTTAGCACTTAAGGATATTTTACGATTACTGGCTCGTCCCACTGGAGCTTCTCCGGTTGCTGCCTGCTTAACACTACTAACCATAATTTCTATTAGGGTAGATTCTTGCTTGTTGTCTAAAACTTCTTCATTGGGTCCCGGCTCTTCTAGCAGCAAATCTGTCATACATTCCCAATCTTTAACCATGGTATTATTGTCCATAAAGGAGTCTACCAAATAGGCACCGTGTTCATGTAATTCAGATTCAATCATAAATTGTACTAAATCACGTATTAGCGGTGTATTGGGTAAACGTAATTTGCCTCTTTTGGTTTTAGTCTCTTCCATATCGGCGGTTAAATGGAATAGACGTACGTTAAGGAAATCGGCAGCAGCCTGAGCAACACCACGATGTGAGGAATATACTAATTCATAAACTATTTCACAGTCTTTATCGGCCAAAATATCGGGATGGATTCTGGGGAGGAAATTTTTAAATTTTCAAATATTAAAAAACAGTATAAAAATACTCACTTTAAAATACTTATAACCAATTTAACCGCATGTACAGCCACTTCAAATTCCTTATCCAAAGTCATGGCCACAATACGATCTTTAAATTTCGAAGTAAACAATTCCAATTTGCCTTTTAGCTCCTCTTTGTCATATAAAGGCAACAAAGCTTGGAGACAACGTAAACGTACCTCACCCACTTTGTCGTGTAAAGTCCAACCGATATATTTAAGATAAGAATCATCTAAAAAGTTTTGAGGATAATTCTCCATCCAAACACCAATTTCAGCCATACAAATAGCTCGAATGTCGGGTAATGTATCACTAGGATATAATATTACAATAAGATATATAAAATTTATTTCAAATTCAAATAAAAAGTTAATATAAATACCGATAACGATGCACAAACACCGATTTAAACATATAGGTTAACATGTTCTTAATTTCATCCATATTCTCTTCCAGTTCGGCACGTTTAGCCATTAAGGACTCTAAACGATCAGAGGCACGACGATCGCGGGACTGTTAAAGAACAAACTTGATAGATAAAACTTAAAGATTATTGTTTAAAGCAAAAACAACCTTGAGACGTTCTGCTTCATATTGTTTGGCAGCATTTTCAAAATTATTTGAAACCAATAAAGCCACATCCACCAAAGCGGTCATAAGTTTCATGGCTTAAATTGAAAAATGAAAACTTTTTAAAATCGATTGTTTGACAAATTGAAAGATAATATATACCTGCCAATGTAGCGGTGTGCCTAAAAGCTCTTACTTGAGAATCAGACAAACCGGTCAACAGTGAAATAACATTATCCATTAGAAACTGATCGTAAATTATAGAATATTGACATTGTTTTACTAAAGTTTGTACAAAATCACAAAAATTCATTTTGAATTTTTTCCATTGTTGACCCGGAATAATCAAAGGATATTCACCACTTTCCTAAAGTAACAAAAATTTACTATAATCCCTTACCATCAATATCTAAAAGACATACCTCATCAAATTCTTCTGTCATTTTACGAATAACTGCTGTATGATCCATAGGATGTTCGGTATCTTCTGGTATTTTACCCTTACAACCACTGGCATTTATGAAAAATTGTAATAGAGCTATTAGGGCTGTATCCCGATTTATTTTATACTGTTCTATCCAATCGTCTACTATACTGGCAATGGGTGATTTGGAATGTCTTACTATAAAATACAAACTATTTTCATCTGTTGTAACATCACGTTCCATATCAATACGTTCTTGTTCTTTATCGATATGTTCCTTGCGTGGTCGATCAATTTTCTCACGACGACCGGTACCCTCACCGGGAGGTTTGCGTGGAGCCTGAGCTTTACGTTTACGCACCACGGGTGCAAAGAAGTCATCTTCGTCTTCATCAATAATGGGTGGCTTATCGCGTACACCACCACGAGCTCTCAAACGTGTCATACGCTTAGTGGGACTATCACCATCGGATATGGAGTCATTCAGATTTTCCCTATAGTATTAAAACAATTAATTTTAGAAAATGTATGTATACCATGAATTTTAAGCTTTTTACCCTTGCTCCTTATAATCAGGAGGCGGATCATCCATTCTTATGCGTTTCCCTCCACGTCTAGCCATCATTCTTTGTTGCTGTATACTTTATGTTGAAATATTTTGTTTTTTTATATATAAATTTTAACAACATTTAGTGAAAATTCATGTTACTTAGTTGTTACACCAAATTTAGTATATTTTTAACTGAAATTTTGTTAATTTTTTATGATTTTTTCTTCAATTTTACAAATTTTCACAAAATTTACGAGGCGTCTCTTTTTTTTACTTTTTTTGTCTGACAGCCATTATCACAGTTGTATTTCATGGTAGTATTTAACCTTTAAGCAGGGTTGGGAATGCCTATAGAAATAAGCGATTCAAAATGAATTTGCTATGAAATATACGAAAGGCGGCTAAAATATCGGCTAAATATAAGCTGAGAATTTGTTTTTAGAAAAATTTTTCTATATACACGTTTTTTTTATATAAAAATGACTTTATATAGATTTGTCAGATAGCAAATATAAATATAGTTAAAAAATTAAAAAAAATATATTAAGAAATTTTACAAAAATATAAATAAATCTTATATTTTAAAGTTTGTATTTATTTTAAAATGTTTACAAGAGAAATAAAATCAATTTATGTTTTACAAATAGATTTTACAAAACAAAAACTACTACATTCTATAAACAAAGGTTGTACTAGTGTTAAAGTGAAAAGTACTTTTTTAAGCAACTGTTAGCACATTGTCAACAAAATAGAAAAAGGAAAAAAAAAATAAATAAAAAAACAAGATCTGTGAGAAAATTGTTGAATTATTTACACATATTTTTTGAGCATTTTCCAAACAAATAATTTATAAATAAAAAACTAACACAATGTCGATGCGCCCGGATGATCATCGTCGCAAATGGGACAAATCCGAATATCAGAAAAAAGCCCAGGAACGTTTATTAAATCAAGCCAAGGGAAATGATAAAAGTGATGAAGGTAACATTTGATAATTCGAATTAAAATTAAAAATTTATTAAAATATTTAATTTCATGTATTAAAGAACCCGTCCAAAGAGAAAGTCTCAAACGGCGTGACTACAAAGTTGACTTGGACAGTAAATTGGGTAAAAGTGTGGTCATTAATAAGAATACCCCCAGTTCCCAATCGGGCGGCTACTACTGTAATGTTTGTGATTGTGTGGTTAAAGATTCAATCAACTTTTTGGATCACATTAATGGTAAAAAACATCAAAGAAATCTGGGTATGTCCATGAAGGTGGAACGCAGCACTGTGGATCAGGTGAAAGAACGTTTTCAGGCGAATAAAAAGAAAATGGAAGAAAAACAAAAGGATTATGAATTGGAAAGACGTCTGAGAGAAGCCAAAGAGGAAGAAGAACGTTATAAAGAGCATCGCAAAGAAAAGCGAAAAGATCGCAAGCGTAAAGCTGAAGAAGATTTAGATGGCATGGCTCTAACAGATGATATGGCCGATATGGCGGCCATAATGGGTTTCTCGGGTTTTGGTGGTTCAAAAAAGAATGCATAACTTTGTTTTAGTTGTTACTCAGGTTAATAAGAACGACAAAAAAAAAATGGAAAATATTTATTACAAAATATGCAACAGGATCAATATTATTATAAACATTTACGTTTTTATAAATAATAAGGAAAATGCTTGAATATATTTAAACACCTTCAAACGGTATAGTGAGTAATGTGTAAAGCAGGACATTTTTAAAATACTTCAAATGGCAGGAACTACCACTTGCCGGCATTGGATCATCGATTTGAGGCAGTGATCTTGAAATTTTACATTTAAACTAAACGAATTAAAAAGAATTATATAAAAAAAAAATTATAAAACAATTATACATAAATTATATATTAAAGACAACAAAAAAAAAACAGAAGAAACTATTTTCTAAAAACAACAACTAACGAACCAATTGTAATTGCATTAATTAATAAACATAAAAAAACCTTTAATAAAACTTGTTACCGTTACTATTCTTTTCATGATTTCATTTGAAAAGGAACGCAGCATTAAAGCTGGTTTTAAGCCACATAGCAGGGCTGCTTTAATATAATAACAGTTTATAATTTCATTGTAATATCTGTGAAATAATTAGATGAATTAGAATTAGAAATTTTAAATAGTTTTATCTACATACTGGCAAACTATAGCTTCATTGGATTTTTCAAACCAATCGGGCGGACCCTCACAATCTAGTAAATCTTCATGCAGTTCTGTTAAGCATTCATGATAAGTGGTGAGATCTAGAAGAAGTAATACATAATCTATAATTTAGAAATTTAAAAATTCTAATGTAATTTAAGAGAATCTTGCTGCTACGAATAAGTTAAACACTTTTTTTCATGAATTAAAAACTTACGATTTCCCCTAGTATTCGGATTATAAAGACAAACATATGAATTATAATAATCCAAACCATTATAAAGTTTCATATAAAGATTAGCCGCTGGCAAAGGTATGCTAACCGATATAGTGGCATTTATATGCTGCAATACATCCGCCACCTCTAAACACTCTTTGCTTAAAGATTTCCTTGATAATAATAAAATAATACGTTCAGGACTGGTGACATACAAGCGTGCCAATTGTAAAACTAATTGCTTTTCATCACACACCTCTTTAAGTTCTTTAGTAATGGCAGTTTTCTAAATTTACAATAAACATTTTGAAAAATTTGTAAAAATTTCCTTAAAAATTCATTACCTTTATAATGCTTTCTTTCTGGGTAAAAGGTAAATATTCCTGTAAGAATTCTTGCATATTCCAAAATGCCTGTGAAGTCTTTAGAAACCCAAAACTTAAACAAATTATTAAAATTATTTTAAACATTATGGCAAAAAAAAAAAGAATTCTTAAAAAATATATTTTCTTTTTTAGGTTTTTGCTTTTACTAAGACATTTATTTTGTTTACTTTCACTTTTTTTAAAATTAAATTACACATTTGCTTTATTATTTTACCATTTTCCAAATATACGTAAGTTTTTCGTTTAAAATTCTGCAATACAACAACAGTTTTGTGTTAAGTTTTCTAAAATACTGTAGTTTAACGAAAAACTATTATAAAAAATACACGTTTAACACGATTTAAATGATTTCTTAGATTTTTGTACCCCCTTTATTTTAATTAATATTTTTATAATTAATAGAAAAAAATGCTTAATTTTTAATAATTTATAAGAAAGAGTCTTGTTTCTTGATTTCCTTTGGAAGATTAATATTATTAAAACATTTATCTTACAAACGAAATTGACGAACTTGACTCCAATAGCTTCTCTTTTCTTGGTTTTTGTCTTGTTTTTGTTGCTGTATTTCTTGAGTAATATTTATTTAGGTAAACACAAAGCCATGTTCCACTGGTATGTCAAATGGAATGTTAAAATATTCTGCTGGTAATTGGGTACAATGGGTCGATTTGAAATCACGGAAATGTTTGCGCAGCTGTAGATAAATTAGAGAATTGTTAAAACTTTATAAACTTTAAAAGTGAATGAAGAAATCTTACCAAAAAGTCAGCCATTTGATGGCGCACTTCTTCGCTATAATCTTCACCAATGTCCATGGGATATTTTTTACCCTGATCCGAGGCATAGGTAATTAAACGTGACAAGCACAGCTCGTCGTCAGCGGCTGAAATTGAAAATAATATTTAAATTCTACTAAAAAAGATTTTCGATAAAAAAATTTAATTTCACTAAATATTCAAATTTTCTCGGAAGTTTTCGCTAAAAAATACGATTTTATCAAGAAATCAAATTTCACTAAAAATTCAAAATTTCGCCAAAACTTCACAAGAAATTAAAAATTTCATCTTCTTTTAAATAATAATTTTCACCAAATACTTAAATTTTCACTAAAAAGTAAAACTTTCGTATTTTCAAATTTCACTAAAATTTCCAACATTAAAATTTTTATTAAAAATTTTTCGCTAAAATCCAAATTTTAGCTTAAAATTCAAAATTTCACTTAAAGTTCGAAATTTTACTAAAAATTCAAAATTTCACTAAAAATTCTAAATATCACCAAAAATTCGATATTTCACCAAAAATTCGAAATTTCATTAAAAATTCTAAATTTCACCAAAAATTCTAAATTTCACCAAAAATTCGAAATTTCACTAAAAATTCGAAATTTCACCAAAAATTCGAAATTTCACTAAAAATTCGAAATTTCACCAAAAATTCGAAATTTCACCTAAATTTTAATAATTTTTATAAACTTACTTGTTAAATTTCTTATTTCAATGGGTTTGGACAGAGTCTGTTTGCAGCGGTTAAGCTGAGCCGTTTTATAAATATGAGGATAACGATATTTTAAAATACCTAAAGCCAAAAAGTTACCACGATTCGTTTCGAGTTGATTATCTCTATAACAAAAAAAAAAAACAAACAAAAATAATTTCAACATACAATCATAACATTGGAAATAAAACAATCTTACTCAGCTATAACTTCATCCTCCGTACGTCTTATCAAACTAATGGGGCCATGATAATTTTGAGCCAATTCGGCGTTATTTAAATTACAATATTCACGTATAGCTATACGTACAATACCCGACAAACTGGCTGGCATGCGAGGTTGTGCCAAATATAAAACATCATCAAAGGTAGCATCCAAAATCTGCAAGAAATCGTAGATTTTAGTAATAATCTAATTAAGTTATAGAGTTATTAAAACTTACCACTCCTTTGGCATCTGGATAGCAAGATGCAGCCCATAGAGAACTAAAACCACCAATACTCCAACCATAAAATATAATATCTTCTACGGCAAAGCCCAAATGATAAATGGCAAATTGTACCACAGCCTCAATGGCATTCTTATCCTGATCGGGATAAGGTTTACCAGTACTACCTTCAAAACCAGGATGATTCCAACCTAATACGGAGTATTTTAGGGCCAAAGGTGTGCCCATAATGCCAATTTCATAAAAGCCGGCATTGCCTGGAAGAGAGAAAGTATATGTATATCCTGGTTTAAACCACCAATCTTTTATATTTCCAAAAAAGTCTCACTTACCTTCTGAGCAAATTACCAATGTTTTGCCATTACTGCTCCTAATGCGATTATCCACAAATACAGTGTCAATATCATTGTCATCTGTGGTGTGAACTTTATAACGTCTGGCGTTTTCTTCTTCGATTAATTTTGCACGACCTGATACCAACATGGGTCCTAAAAACATCGCAAATTATTAAGAAATCCGAGAGAAAGTTATCCGTACAAGCAACCAACTTACTCATATAGCTTTGTAGCAATTTAATAGAGCCCGGATACATCATCCTTATACCAAATGAATGTATGGCAATATAGGCAGCAATTTCACAGGGTATAGTGGCCAAGCGAAAACTGCGTGTAGAGTTTTTAGCTAAAACAGCTTTATTTTTCTTATCATCACTAGAAAACCCAAACAACAGGAAATAAGTTTCAAAACTCTAATACCAACATGTAAACACTTTTACCTTTGTAAACTTTTAACATCGAAATCCACAGCCCAAGCTTTAAATTCATAATCGAATAATCTCAAAGCTCTCTTGCCCTCCATTTCTGTTTTGGGTGATCTCAACAGCTCCATGGCTTTAATCAATTTAGTATATGAGGCAGATTGAGTACGACCCAAACCACGCATAACCATTGAAATTATGACAATAATACCAATACTTGTACTTATCTTAGCTAGAGTTGCTACAGAGTCCATAACAAAATAGCCACGACGATATAAGAATGTGGCCAGCAAAGGTGAGGTGTAAAAACCAATGTTCCACATTAAGTTAATCTAAAATAAAGGAAAAAAATCAATCAATAATTTATAATTTTATCTATCACGTATAAAATGCGTCATACCGTTGAAAGTATTTGGTCACCAAATTTTTCCAGGCCACCGGCCTCATACATTTTCTACAAAGAAAAAAGTTATACATAATTTATTTATGATTAGTATATTTGTGTCTTAAAATAAATCATTTTTCCAATTCCTATTGAAACGGTGTTACGTACTTGAGTTGTTCCGAGGCCATATTCCATGTAGAGCTTTGGCCCCAATATGTAGCGGAGTAAACTCATATTGGAATATACTATTTTATTAATATTTGGTTAATTTCTTTTTTTGTCTTTTGGCCTGATTTCGATAATTAAAATCTCTAAATTTACACAATAAAAATGCAAATTAATTAATGACACCAAAAAAAAAATCTTCTTCTTTCTGCTTAATCATTCACAGTAAAGTGTGTACTACAAATTGAGGAGGCCATTTCATTTTATTAAATACTGGATCATTTATTAATGAAAACAAGGATACATTTTATGGCGATAAAGTTTTTGTTTGTTGTTTATTTCGTATGACAAAAATTTATATTCAACATAAACAAGTTAATTTTAATAAAAAATTAACTGAAATAAATTCCCCATTATTCAGTAAAACTGTATGGCAATATTTTACCTTATCTGATGAAAAAGTATCATTCCTTAGTGAATACTTGATTTTGCCTCAAAAGAAGAAGATTTAGTAAACAATGTCGTCCTTAACCGGTGTACGCGTTAATCTTTTCAATGAGAATTTTCTCAATGAATCCGAACAGGATGCCAATTCCGTGCTTACCGAATTGGATAAGGGCTTACGTTCCACTAAGCTCGGTGTACAATGTGAAGCTATAGTGCGTTTTCCTCGCTTATTTGAGAAATATCCATTTCCTATATTGATAAATTCCTCATTTTTAAAATTGGCTGAATTTTTTCTAAATGGTTCCAATCTATTACGTTTTTGGGTTCTGCGTGTTTGCCAGCAAAGTGAAAATCATTTGGATAAAATTTTAAATATAGATGCCTTTGTTAAGCGCATCTTTATGGTAATACATTCTAATGATCCAGTGGCCAGAGCCTTGACACTGAGAACTTTGGGTGCGGTATCGCGGGTTATACCAGAAAAACAGCAAGTACATCATGCTTTAAGAAGAGCTTTGGACAGTCACGATACTGTGGAAGTAGAAGCGGCCATTTATGCTAGTGGCCAATTTGCCGCACAATCTAGATCTTTTGCCATTAGCATGTGTGCCAAAATATCCGATATGATTGAATCTTTACAAATACCAGTGCCCATGAAATTGCAATTGATTCCTGTGCTCCGACACATGCATCACGATGCGAACACAGCAGCTTTAGTGAAAAAACTTTGTCTTAACTTACTGCCCAAATATCCGGGAGAAAGTTTTGTGGTGGCCATTTTGGCTTCGTTGACTGAATTGTCGGCTAGAACCTTGACCGGAGTGCCAGATCAGGTAACTTTGTTATTGGAGTTTAATAATGATTTGCGTAAACCGGTAAGGGCTCAAGCTTTAAAATCACTTAATAAATTGGCCGAAAAACAATGTGTTCATGCTTGGCCTAAAAGTGCTATTAAGGATTTAATAGCTAAAGCCTTTGCCTGTTCTGAGCCATCGGAACAGTATTTGTTTTTGGGCATTATACTTAAACTTAGTGATTGCCCGTTAACTTGCCATATTCTGCTGGCCCAAGAAGAGGAACCACCCTCGGTGGTGGATTTGTGCAAGAATTGCTTGTATCTAAATGATTATGGTACCGCTAGCCAAGCTATTACCGTATTGGCTTCTTTGATTGCATATGCTGATGAGAGTAATAAAACGGAACGTATTAACGTGCTAATGGAGCTGATTGATTTACATTTACAAAGCTTGCTAATGTGCACTATACGCGAGCAGAAATATGCTGAAGACTTGCGTAAAATATTAGTCTGTGGCATAAGGGTATCATCGGTGAAGCCAGAATTTGGTGTGGAATTGGTTACAATGCTGGCAAATCTCTTGAATGACTCGGTGGAATACCCAGCCGCTAATGAAGAAGCTATATGTGAGGCGTTGGGTTCATTATGTTCATATTTTCAATTAAGGAAATTTGCTCCTTTAACCAATGAAATGGAAACAGATCAAAGTACTCAACAAAGGGTAAGTTTGGAAAATCTATTGGATAAATAAATTTTTAAAAAATTTTTATTTTAATTTTTTAGACTAATCCTGTACTCAAGAATCTTTTGTTAATTATGCGTAAACTAACCACCACTACTGAACGTAGCACACCCGAGGAAAGTATTAGATCTATAGAAATCCTCTCCGCAGTGGCTTTGCAGGCCATGATGGGTTGTTTTATGCCTACAGCGGTTATGCGTACATTCGAGAAAATCATTTTTAAATCAAATCCCTGGACTCAATATCGTATGGCCCGTTCGGCAAGTCGTTATGGACAACATTATTTGGCCGCCCATATTTATGTGAAAATATCGCGAAGTACTGTGGTGGATAAGCTGCACTTTTTCCTAACGGGTCTTTCGCAGTTGGCTCATGCGGAATGTATTCTAAACTATGGAGTATCCTATGATTTTATGCACAAGAACTACGAAATATGTGAAAATCATATTGTACGCAGCATGGCATTGGAAGAGTCGATGCCGTTAATGCAACGTTTGGAAATGGCAATAAATTTGTGCTGGCAAGCCTTGGCTAGCTTAAGAGCTAGTTCTTCGCCCTCTCATCCCTTCACATTCCAATTGGAATTCTTAAAATTACGCGCCCAATTTCTACAGACCCTACACTCGGCTGTAACCATAAAAAATGCCCAGATTATAGTGCCTCCACCAGCCATAGCCGGTAGTTTGGCTCAAAATTCCCGAGACTATTTGCAGAAATTTGGCCATGTCACCAATCAGCTAAGGAAGTTGGTAAAGGAATTGAAATCCTGTGAAGAAGCCTTTGGACGTTTGTATAAGTCAGCATTTGATGCGGATCCCACAACTTTGGAATTCCTAGAGATAATACAATATCAATGTGTTTTGTTTGCCCACATTGTGGAGACCATTTGTTTTGCCACTCCCTCAGATCCGCCAGATTTTCAGGCTGAAGGCAAATGCCCAGAAACTAGATATTTAATTAACTGTTGTCGCCGCATGGAAGAATTAAGCAAATCGATACCAGAAGAAGCGGCCAATAATAAAACCATTAATAATTTCCATTTAGATATCATATTGGCAGAAATTGAGATCATTACTAAAACTCCCTTATGTTTGCCACGCTATTTCTTTCAAGTCTTACAATCAACTCAAATCAAGTTGTCTGTCAGTCCTCAACCGCGCAGCGATGGCAAACCTGTCAATGTACAATCGGGCAGTAATTTAGTAATAAAAGTAGAGGGCGTCATTCAGCATTATGGCAAAAAACCTTCCCTGTTTCGCAGTGTAGAGTCGGTACAGTTAAGTTTGGTTTCTAAGCTTTTAACACCAAGACCACCCGGCGAAACTATGAAGCCTCAAAGTGATACGGTGACCTTAACTCAGACAGTTAAGCCTCAAAGAGATTTCTTATCTGGTAATTTCCTAGTACCCATATCATCGGGCGGCCAATGGCAAGTTACCTTGGAGACCTATGTCATAGACGAAAAGGGTATTACCTGGTGCACCGGACCTAAAAATTCCATGTTAGTAAGAGTTTTAGATGATCCAGCCAAACAGCAACAGGCACCAGCTCCTTCTGCTCAAACTAGAAGATTTTAAAACTAAATCATGATCACTAATCTTAAGTATTACCAATAAAAACTTTAATTTTACTTTTAAATTTTTCTAATTTATTTTTAACAAACTACTTTTGGAAGGGATAGTAATCTAAACCAGAATTATAATTGTATTTTGGTTTCTGTTTACGCTTAGCTATTTCAATCATTTCCTGTACATCCTTACGATAGGCGGGTGGTAACATTTCTTCATGCAAAGTACATTCATATTTCTCGGGTTGTTCCACTTTGAAAATGTGTCTGCGTACAATATCGATATCACGGCCAAATTCTTCTCTCATATCGGCAATTTTGGCGGGTGCAGCATCAAAGTTAATGGTAAAATAGGTACCCTCACGATGCACAGCACCATGTTCACTGATTTTGTAAGGTAAGGCTCTGGAACCTAAATTTTGTAATTGTCTTATAATGCCTCCTTTATCCAAAATTGATTCAGCGGTGCGTTTTAAGGCCGAAACCAATTCCGGCTAAAAATTTAAGCAATGCATTAAATTATTGATTTTAATTGCAGTCAAACGGTTGCTACTTACTCTGGACATTTGTCTTAATACCAAGGATAATTCATAAGAAGGCATTTTTAATTAATTTACCAATTTTTCTGTTATAAAACTAAAAATTCATCCACTAGCCAGAACCCCGCGACGACAAATATTAACGGCGGCGGTTGACACTAAAAATATCGGCGGCGGCTTAAAGTCGACTGTAAGCCGGCTAAGTTCTCAAATACGTTTAAATCATGATACAATTAAATTAAATAAAAACGTGACTCTTTCAGCACATGTTGACAAATTTTGATAAAGAAAACTTTTCGCTACCTTGACGAGAAATGAACGTGAAAGTTCTCACGATCATATAATTAAACATCATGTAAACATTTCAACAAAGACGTCATTCTATATTTAAAACCATGTAATTGAAACCTCTCAGAAATATTAAATATTCTCAACGTACGGGAATATTTTATAGATATGACATTTCTACATTTTTTTGATCTATGGATTTATTTAGAATAAGATATGGGGTCCACGAGGTAAAAAAAATCGAATGAATCGATTCAAACTTTTCCTTGAATAGAAGGTGAAAATTTTAAAGGGTGTTAAAACTAGTTCCCGTGGACCAAATTGGCTGAAATTTGGCAGTGTTATGTACAATTGATGACAATACTATATTATCTTCGAATATTCGAAATTAAGTTCGAAAATTCGAAGTATTGATTACGCATATTTATGACCATTCGAAATGAAATGATATTCATTCAAATCCAAACACATTTCTTCATTTCTACTAAAGTCATTTTGCCATTCTTGATAATACAGACGCAAGTTCATCAAGTGATCGGAAGGAATACTTCAGTTTTTATACCCTACACCACGTTTTATTTGACCCAAGGACGAAGCCTATTGAAAATGGTTAAAATCGGTCCATTATTTCACCTAGCCCACATAGAGCAGAACCCCCCGAAAAGGGCTTCTGAGCTCATAATTATGTTAAATATACAGATATATCGATAAAATACGGCACAACTAAGTTTTATAGAAGTCTTGATGACCCTGCCAAATTCCATAAAGATCGGGCCCCATTTGACCCTAGCTCCCATACAAAGTCCCCTTCAGAAAATTACTTGAATGTCCCAAATTAACTTATAAACACAAATATCGCGATGAAATTCTATATATTCACAAAATTTTATCGGGCTTGGTCCATATTTGCCCCTAGCCCCCATATAAAGCCTCTTTCAGAAAATTAATTTTTTATCCATAAATTGCTTAAATGTATCGGAACAAGGGAATATTGAAGATAAATGCTTTATTATTAAAAATAAATCACATTCAATATTCATAACTGGTGTAGGGTATCATATGGTCGGTCACGGCCGACTATACTTTCTTACTTGTTTTTTCTTTTATAAATGATTCATATAATGTGATCTAAAGTCACTTTAGGCCCACAATATTTTGCCCAAAAAACAGCTATATAAGACGACAACCTAGCCAGGTTATATCCTCTAAGTCCGTGACATTCTCTACAGTGCGATAAATTTGTGTAAATGGCGGCTTAACAATTGTTTCTTGTAAATATTCGGCCACCATAGTGTTTGGAGACAACAAGAGCTTCACTGAAAGGCACACCAGGCAGACATCGCGCTCTATTATGGGTGTATGGTAGTGATTCTGCTGAGATCAATGGTATAATAATAACTATGTATCCCAAGGATACCCCCTGAATAAGGCAATCAGCTTCCGTCCATTGCCTCTAGGTGATAATATACCATGTCACCACTAGCCGACCGACCACCACCCGCCTAGGTGACTAGGGAGGTATACAATTGCCACTCTCTTGTGGGCATTCTTCCAGGAGACCATCATGATGCCTCCTCTTTCTTGAAAAGAAAGACGTTCTTTATAGACAAATTAATAATTAATTAACACCATTACTTCCATTTTTTAATCTTCTAGATCTCACAAATACGACAAATCTTCTAGATTTCAATAAACACTTTTGGGTATTAAACGAAAACAAACCCCGCCTGGAAAAACATTTTCATCATAGTTATTAACAATTTATCTAAATGAAACCAAACACTTGCTGTTTCTTTGCACAATGACCCTCGGTATAGTAGTATAGCAATCTTATTAATTTCAATTGTTAGTAAAAAATTATTTTTTTATTTAAAGAATATCATTTCTGTCATTTTAGATTTTTGCACACACACACAACAACAGATTTTTTTTGCAAATAAAAAATGCAGAAAACAGTTTGGCGCGAAAAATTCTAGCAGAATTTCTTTTCGCAGTCGGCAGAATTGACATCAACTGCACTTCCCATTTAAAATACACATGTTTGATACCCTAGCCCTTTACGGTATGACATACCAGCAATGTAAAAAGGTGTAGCTCCGTTGACGTCAACGAAGCTGGTTTGAAGTAAAAGCAGCGACTCGAATTAGGCGCGTAAAAACCTTTTTTTTCTTTTGGTTGGCAAGTCGATTTTTGTCAATCAGCTGTTTATATTAAAATTAATGATTCACAATAGTTTTTACTTTTAAATAAATGTTGGCAAAAAGTTGTTAGCTGCTGAAAATAATTTAGAAAATTTAAATTTTAATGGTGTTAAGTATTTATTTTAAAATAATAGTGTAAAGTGTGAATATTTCGTTATATTGCAACTAGATTTATTGTTATGTACAAGGTAAGTGTTTTGTTTTTTGCTTAATTATTGTTTTGCAAATCTTAATCTCAACGCTAGTTGCAAAAGGATGAGAAAAAAGTATGTAAAAGAAAATAAATTTTAAAGGTTATGTTCCGATGTATACAAAAGCTAAGGTATAATTAATTGTGAAACGGAATTTATTATTTAATTTAGCAGTTATTAAATTATTCTTTATGACGTTAAAAGAAAGATTTGTGAAAACTTGAAATTTATATAAAAAAATCTTCTAGATTGTACAATTTCTTTAGTTGTTTTGTTGTCTTTTGTAAGTTCACAATCTTTGACCAAAAATGCCTAATATTGATCAGGAATCAAAATCCGATTGTCGTATGAAAGTAGAGAGCTTCCAATATTGCTACTATTGGAAGCTCTCCCGGGGTTGATATACCTGTTGCTGAGTTGACGATTTAAGTACTGTAAGTACTTTTGGAAATCAAGGAGTTTCAGAGCTGAGATCTAATATTCGTCAGAACGATTATTTGTTTTTTTATGTTGCATGTCAGATCAATTGCATTGTTTTGTACTTCTGGGTATTGCAGTCAACTCACAATCTGTGTTAATTTAATAATGTATGTTCTTCTGTCTGTTCATATTAAGCTTGTGATCGAAATATAAGATAACTTAGCAATTTTATCAACTTTCGAATTGAACTAGAACTGAGCTATAACTGGACTTGAAGTAGAACTGAACTAGAACTGAACTAGAACTGAACTAGAACTGAACTAGAACTGAACTAGAACTGAACTAGAACTGAACTAGAACTGAACTAGAACTGAACTAGAACTGAACTAGAACTGAACTAGAACTGAACTAGAACTGAACTAGAACTGAACTAGAACTGAACTAGAACTGAACTAGAACTGAACTAGAACTGAACAAGAACTGAACTAGAACTAAACTAGAACTGAACTAGAACTGAACTAGAACTGAACTAGAACTGAACTAGAACTGAACTAGAACTGAACTAGAACTGAACTAGAACTGAACTAGAACTGAACTAGAACTGAACTAGAACTGAACTAGAACTGAACTAGAACTGAACTAGAACTGAACTAGAACTGAACTAGAACTGAACTAGAACTGAACTAGAACTGAACTAGAACTGAACTAGAACTGAACTAGAACTGAACTAGAACTGAACTAGAACTGAACTAGAACTGAACTAGAACTGAACTAGAACTGAACTAGAACTGAACTAGAACTGAACTAGAACTGAACTAGAACTGAACTAGAACTGAACTAGAACTGAAATAGAACTGAACTAGAACTGAACTAGAACTGAACTAGAACTGAACTAGAACTGAACTAGAACTGAACTAGAACTGAACTAGAACTGAACTAGAACTAGAACTAGAACTGAACTAGAACTGAACTAGAACTGAACTAGAACTGAACTAGAACTGAACTAGAACTGAACTAGAACTGAACTAGAACTGAACTAGAACTGAACTAGAACTGAACTAGAACTGAACTAGAACTGAACTAGAACTGAACTAGAACTGAACTAGAACTGAACTAGAACTGAACTAGAACTGAACTAGAACTGAACTAGAACTGAACTAGAACTGAACTAGAACTGAACTAGAACTGAACTACTGACTAGAACTGAACTAGAACTGAACTAGAACTGAACTAGAACTGAACTAGAACTGAACTAGAACTGAACTAGAACTGAACTAGAACTAAACTAGAACTGAACTAGAACTGAACTGAACTAGACTGAAGAACTGAACTAGAACTGAATGAACTGAACTAGAACTGAACTAGACTGAACTACTGAACTAGAACTATAGAACTGAACTAGACTGAACTAGAACTGAACTAGAACTGAACTAGAACTGAACTAGAACTGAACTAGAACTGAACTAGAACTGAACTAGAACTGAACTAGAACTGAACTAGAACTGAACTAGAACTGAACTAGAACTGACTAGAACTGAACTAGAACTGAACTAGAACTGAACTAGAACTGAACTAGAACTGAACTAGAACTGACTAGAACTGAACTAGAACTGAACTAGACTGAACTAGAACTGAACTAGAACTGAACTAGAACTGAACTAGACTGAACTAGAACTGAACTAGAACTGAACTAGAACTGAACTAGAACTGAACTAGAACTGAACTAGAACTGAACTAGAACTGAACTAGAACTGAACTAGAACTGAACTAGAACTGAATTAGAACTGAACTAGAACTGAACTAGAACTGAACTAGAACTGAACTAGAACTGAACTAGAACTGAACTAGAAACTGAACTAGAACTGAACTAGAACTGAACTAGAACTGAACTATAACTGAACTAGAACTGAACTAGAACTGAACTAGAACTGAACTAGAACTAGAACTGAACTAGAACTGAACTAGAACTGAACTAGAACTGAACTAGAACTGAACTAGAACTGAACTAGAACTGAACTAGAACTGAACTAGAACTGAACTAGAACTGAACTAGACTGAACTAGAACTGAACTAGAACTGAACTAGAACTGAACTAGAACTGAACTAGAACTGAACTAGAACTGAATTAGAACTGAACTAGAACTGAACTTGAACTGAACTTGAACTGAACTAGAACTGAACTGAACTGCACTACCACTAGAAATATAACTGAACTAAAACTGAACTAGAACTAATCTAGAATTTAACTAGAACAAAACTCGAAGTCAAATTAAACAGAAACTGAACTGTAAAATCGAATTTATCTAGAAAATCCAATATTCACTAAATAGTCGATATGTCACTTTTACAAACGTACGATATTTCACTAAAAATTTGTTTTTAATTAGATTTTTATTTAAATTCATATTTTCACAAAAAATGTCAAAAACTTCAAGTATTGATAGTATCTAATATAGATACTGAATAATGTAAACGACTTAAAAATTTGGGAATGATCTGAATCTAAGAAATAACATTTGTTTTAAGAACAATTACATAATGAATTCAATTTTGAAATTTAAAACTCGATTAAAGTGTGAGAAACCAATGAGAATTACTTTTTATGGCAAATTGAAATAAAACCGGTTGCTTTGAGATTAACACTAAGTTGGTTTAGCAAACCCAAGAGAAGTAAACGATTAAAGGGATTTCCAATAAAACAATGTTTTTAATTATTTTATAAAATATTTATTTTATTATATATTTATTACCAAAAAAAAGATAGAAGAATAAATTACGGATAGAAGACAAATTTGGCGGATGATTCTTAACACAAACAAACAATAATTGAAAGTTTGCGTTTGAGTGTTGAGAGATAAGGACACTTGCAAATATTTCCAATACTAATTAAGTGTATATGTTGTAAAAGTTTAGATTATTTTTAATGGCACATTATAAAATACGATTAAAAAATATACATATTTATTTACCTCAACAACAATATACATATAGAGGTAATAAATATATTTTTTTCTATTCATATAAAGAAGACTATATGTATACGAGAGCAATTCTTTGTTTTATATAATTTGAGAGACTAATTTGGTGCCAATTAAATTGTGGAAGAAAACAAAAACTAATTGATTTGATATGGGTTTTAAAGTAAAATTAAAGAAAACGAAAAAAAGAACACAAAAGCTATGTAATGTATAAAAAGTGTCAACATTTATATAAGTAAAATATAGTAAAATATGTATGAACTTATAAATTATAAAGACAAAATAAAGAAAATTATTATTATTATGAATTTGAGTAAAGTTAATTAATTTAAAAAAATACACTTTTATAACTTATACATTTGTTGTGGTTTAATTAATTCTTTGAAAATTAAATATTAATTAAAAAAAAATAATAAAAAGGAATGCACTGCAGTAGAACATATGGAATGTCTGAAACAGTTAACAGAAAAACAGAACCAAGCTGTTCTTTCTTCTCTTCTTGGGATTTAAATTAAAATACATATAAAATTTGATTGTACAGATGAAGAAGTATGTGTTATAGTTGTTGTGTGTTAAGTAGACATTTTACATGTGTCTGGTGTTGCCAAAGTTAATGCCAGATTGTGTGGCACCCTTGTTGGAACCATACTGTAGGGAAATGACATTTTGACCGGCACGCAATTGTTCCTCAGAGAAGTTGCGTACATTTTTGTCAGCTTCCTTGGGACCAATGGAAGGTTTGCCAAAGTTGTGGGCCTATTGCAGAATAATAAATAAATAAATTAGTTATTTTATTCAAAATAGAGTAGGAGAAGGGATTTGTTTCTTACCTTTCTGCCCAAAGATTGAATGCAAATGACTACAGAGTTCAAGTTTTGTCTTTCCCACAAATCAACACTTTGGAAGGTTTCTTGTGTGGGTACACCAAAGTTTTTGGCACATTCCAAGAAAGCTGTTGAAGAAAGCAAGTTATTAAGCTAAATCTTTAATATATTTTTAAATTTTCAAATAATACCTGAAATATTTTCCATGCATTTGAAGGCCATTTTGCTTTCATTGATTCTCTTAACAGAACCAGGCTGTAAGCAATTGGCCAATTTGCATAGTAAAACACCATCCTTCAAGACTTCAAAGAAATTATCCATATCACCGGAGGTGTTGATGGGTTCATCGGTAATCACCTTAATCCATTCCAAGCATTCTTGGGCCAATTCTTCGCTGTATTTGGAGTTGATCTAGAAGTAAAAAAAAGAATTATTATTAATATATAATTTACTTTAATATTAATAAAAATAATTTATTTCTATTCTTTTCCATTACTTTTGCTTTATACATTTTGCTAGTGCAACATATAGTCTTCTAGTGCAATTGTTAACTGTGAGCAAATCAATTTAATTTACTTTTTCTTTTTTCTTTTGCAAAAACTGAAACAAATTGCTTTTACTTATCACTTTGTTTCATTGTGTTGTATTTCTTATGATAAGATATCATCATATTCTATTTTCAACAATTGTTTTAACAATTTCAAAAAAAGTATAAGAATTGTACTCTTTCTTTTTCCCTTTTTTTTGGTATTTACAGAGATTGCTTTCGTTTTCATATTTATAATTATCTAGAAAGAAAGGCGAAAGCAGGCAAGTGTTTCAAAAATCTACATTGTGTTCATAAAAACTTGTTAGAGAGCTAATATTAGCTATTTAGTAATTTAATATTCTATTTACTTAATAATATGTAGAACATTTGTGCAAATAGCAAAAACAATTTAAAGAAATTTTAAGTATTTATTTACTTATCTCAATTGAGCGTTTAATATTGTTAGGAGTAATATTTCTTTCAGCGTATTTCAATTCAAAATTCTGAAAAAGAACTGAGCTTAACTAGAACTGAACTGAACTAGAACTGAACTAGAGCTGAACTAGAACTAAACCAGAACTGAACTAGAACTGAACTAGAATTGAACTAGAACTGAACTAGAACTGAACTAGAACTGAACTAGAACTGAACTAGAACTGAACTAGAACTGAACTAGAACTGAACTAGAACTGAACTAGAACTGAACTAGAACTGAACTAGAACTGAACTAGAACTGAACTAGAACTGAACTAGAACTGAACTAGAACTGAACTAGAACTGACTAGAACTAGAACTGAACTAGAACTGAACTAGAACTGAACTAGAACTGAACTAGAACTGAACTAGAACTGAACTAGAACTGAACTAGAACTGAACTAGAACTGAACTAGAACTGAACTAGAAACTGAACAGAACTGAACTAGAACTGAACTAGAACTGAACTAGAACTGAACTAGAACTGAACTAGAACTGAACTAGAACTGAACTAGACTGAACTAGAACTGAACTAGAACTGAACTAGAACGGAACTAGAACTGAACTAGAACTGAACTAGAACTGAACTAGAACCTAGACTGAACTAGAACTGAACTAGAACTGAACTAGAACTGAACTAGAACTGAACTAGAACTGAACTAGAACTGAACTAGAACTGAACTAGAACTGAACTAGACTGACTAGAACTGAACTAGAACTGAACTAGAACTGAACTAGAACTGAACTAGAACTGAACTAGAACTGAACTAGAACTGAACTAGAACTGACTACTAGAACTGAACTAGAACTGAACTAGAACTGAACTAGAACTGAACTAGAACTGAACTAGAACTGAACTAGACTGAACTAGAACTGAACTAGAACTGAACTAGAACTGAAACTAGAACTGAACTAGAACTGAACTAGAACTGAACTAGAACTGAACTAGAACTGAACTAGAACTGAACGAGAACTGAACTAGAACTGAACTAGAACTGAACTAGAACTGAACTAGAACTGAACTAGAACTGAACTAGAACTGAACTAGAACTGAACTAGAACTGAACTAGAACTGACCTAGAACGAACTGAACTGAATGAACTGAACTAGAACAACTTCTGAACTAGAACTGAACTAGAACTGAACTAGAACTGAACTAACGAACTGAACTAGAACTGAACTAGAACTGAACTAGAACCTGAACTAGAACTGAACTAGAACTGAACTAGAACTGAACTAGAACTGAACTAGAACTGAACTAGAACTGAACTAGAACTGAACTAGAACTGAACTAGAACTGAACTAGAACTGAACTAGAACTGAACTAGAACTGAACTAGAACTGAACTAGAACTGAACTAGAACTGAACTAGAACTGAACTAGAACTGAACTAGAAACTGAACTTAGAACTGAACTAGAACTGAACTAGAACTGAACTAGAACTGAACTAGAACTGAACTGAACTAGAACTGAATGAACTAGAACTGAACTAGAACTGAACTAGAACTGAACTAGAACTGAACTAGAGACTGAACTAGAACTGAACTAGAACTGAACTAGAACTGAACTAGAACTGAACTAGAACTGAACTAGAACTGAACTGAACTGAACTAGAACTGAAGCTAGAACTGAACTAGAACTGAACTAGAACTGAACTAGAACTGAACTAGAACTGAACTAGAACTGAACTAGAACTGAACTAGAACTGAACTAGAACTGAACTAGAACTGAACTAGAACTGAACTAGAACTGAACTAGAACTGAACTAGAACTGAACTAGAACTGAACTAGAACTGAACTAGAACTGAACTAGAACTGAACTAGAACTGAACTAGAACTGAACTAGAACTGAACTAGAACTGAACTAGAACTGAACTAGAACTGAACTAGAACTGAACTAGAACTGAACTAGAACGAACTGAACTGAACTAGAACTGAACTAGAACTGAACTAGAACTGAACTAGAACTGAACTAGAACTGAACTAGAACTGAACTAGAACTGAACTAGAACTGAACTAGAACTGAACTAGAACTGAACTAGAACTGAACTAGAACTGAACTAGAACTGAACTAGAACTGAACTAGAACTGAACTAGAACTGAACTAGAACTGAACTAGAACTGAACTAGAACTGAACTAGAACTGAACTAGAACTGAACTAGAACTGAACTAGAACTGAACTAGAACTGAACTAGAACTGAACTAGAACTGAACTAGAACTGAACTAGAACTGAACTAGAACTGAACTAGAACTGAACTAGAACTGAACTAGAACTGAACTAGAACTGAACTAGAACTGAACTAGAACTGAACTAGAACTGAACTAGAACTGAACTAGAACTGAACTAGAACTGAACTAGAACTGAACTAGAACTGAACTAGAACTGAACTAGAACTGAACTAGAACTGAACTAGAACTGAATTAGAACTGAACTAGAACTGAACTAGAACTGAACTAGAACTGAACTAGAACTGAACTAGAACAGATTAATCAAATCTGTTTGCTGGAATCAATCCCAAAAATTCTGTGACATAATTTGAGGTTGATACAAAGTTAATGTATTAATCTATGTTTTTTCCGCAACACACTTAATTTTTAAGACAAACAGTAGCAGTTTAAAATATTTAAATGTAAACCACAATTTCCGAAAATTTTTAATAACATTTCTTAAGTTGATTCATTAAATATTCCTATATATTTAAAAAAAATACCTCAACCACAATTTAGGAAACAATTTCTAGAAAACAAAAGCTTTACTAAATATTTTATCAATTTAATCAAATTATCAATTAATGAAATAGTTTTGTGGTTACAATATGTTTTTTAGTAACCAAACATTAGTTGTTTGTACTATTTTTATCAGGTGTTGTCATATTTTTTTTTAAACATAAATATTTGATTTTGTTTATTTAATTTTGTAAATATTTTCTCATAAAAAAACGTAGCTGATAAGCAAGCTTCACAACTTCCTACGCTAGGAAAGTTTTTTTCTGTTGTATTTCAAGAGCAATTTACCAATATGATTGCTAACAAAATAAAACAACATTTATTTATATTAATGATTTTGATAAAACATTTTCAAAGTACACATCATTTCAATAGAGCACGAAGAAAACAAAAAATGACCTCGACAAGTCTTAGAAATGAATCACATCTTAAATTTGATAAATCAAATTTTTGAAAATTGATTTAATATATAAAAATAAAAATTATTAATAATAACAGTAAATAGACCAATTTTGTGAAAAAGTTAATGCTTAATTTAAAGTTATAAATTATTATTTATTCGATAATAAGATTATTATATAAAAGTATTATATATTTTTGTAGTGGGTGATAAAAATAAAGTTAATGGACATGAATTTATAAATTTAATAAAACATGTGTGTGTAGCACACTAAGGCCTATTTTTACAACATGCCAGTAAATAAATTTAGGATTTTATAGTCTAGACTCAAGGTAACTAGTTTCTTGTTGTTGTACATATGTACATACATATGTATACGGAAAAATAAGCTAGCGGACCCTTTATTGGTAACCTTTAACTAAAGTATACTTATAATAACGAAAATTAAATTATTAACATTTTAATGTCCTATCTTTAGTTATTGGTAAGTTATAATAATGGACCTAAACCTTGCATTAGAAAATATTTAAGAATTATTTACTTTGTTGAACTTTAAGAATTTTATATTATAAATTTTTGCAAATAAAATATATAACACACATTTCAGTTTCATCACACTTAAAGTGTGTAGACTTTTGGGAACTTATGGTTTTTAGCTGTTGTTTTGGCGCCACCACTATAATGATGTAAACATACCCAGCAAACACATTTTAAAGTAGAACTGAACACGAATTGAAGTAGAACTAAAGTAGAACTGAACTAAAAGTGAACTAGAACTGAAATAAAAGTGAACTAGAACTGAACAAGAACTGAACAAGAACTGAACAAAAACTGAACTAGAACTGAACTAGAACTGAACTAGAACTGAACTAGAACTGAACTAGAACTGAACTAGAACTGAATCTAGAACTGAACTAGAACTGAACTAGAACTGAACTAGAACTGAACTAGAACTGAACTAGAACTGAACTAGAACTGAACTAGAACTGAACTAGACTGAACTAGAACTGAACTAGAACTGAACTAGAACTGAACTAGAACTGAACTAGAACTGAACTAGAACTGAACTAGAACTGAACTAGAACTGAACTAGAACTGAACTAGAACTGAACTAGAACGGAACTAGAACTTGAACTAGAACTGAACTAGAACTGAACTAGAACTGACTAGAACTGAACTAGAACTGACTAGAACTGAACTAGAACTGAACTAGAACTGAACTAGAACTGAACTAGAACTGAACTAGAACTGAACTAGAACTGAACTAGAACTGAACTAG